GACAAGTCTTAACTAGAAGCTAGGTCTAAAGGATTAATTAAGTAGAACAGAAAGTGTAATAAATAATATTAGAATGTCTTTAACTTAGGTATAAGCTAATAATATAAGTTGACTATAAAGACTATAAAACTATCTAGGAAATGAGTATACTTATATAGGCTAGGAGATTCGTGCTTATAACTACTTACTTATAAGCGCTTATAAGCGTTACTTATTATGCTTATATAGACTAGAAGATTCGTGCTTAGAGTTAATTATCCTGATCACCTTTAATTATTGCTTATAAGTGCTTACCCTAATTACCTCTGATCATTACTTATAAGTGCTTACCCTGATCACCTCTGATTATTATGTTGTCTAAGTCTGACTATGTGTATAGTTCAAGGTCTAGTCCTGTCTAAGTCTGTTATAGTTTCTTTGCAGAGTGCTAGGCAGCTCTGTAATGCCTATTAGTGCTTAGCGTATTTACATATTATAATATATTAGTTTTTATAAATATAAAATTAATAGAGTTTATAATTAAGTAAATGCTTAAATAAGTAATATAAAGATTACTTTAAAAAATAAACTAATTATAATTAAATAAATACTTTAATAAATAATATTAAAATAATTAAATAAAGCAAAAATCTTATAATTAAGTAAATACTTAAAGAAAATAAAAAAAAATTTCTTATTTATTATTCTTACTCTCTTTATAACTTTAAATACTACTTTATTTTTATTAAATTAATAAATTACGCTTTAAGTATTATTTTTCTTTCTTAATTCTTGCTAAGATAGCTAGACTTAAAAGTAGTAATAAATAAATTAGTGCTAATAATTATAATATTAATCCTAATTATTAGTCTTTTACAAATATATTAATAGCCGCACATTTAAATCGCTAACCTTAGAACTATAAAGCTATTGTCTTGTCTTTTAATACAACATTATTAGTCCTACTATTAATCTCTACAGCATTACATCTATCACTTACGCAGCTTCTCTTAGTAGCACCTCATCTTAATCAGGGATGCGGCTTACGTAAGCCAGATACTATATATTATAGCCACTAAAATAACTAGACTATTTAGTCAGACTCTACTAATCTGTCTAGTTATAAGTAGCTTGCTCTGCCTTAACTTCTTGTATAGCCTGCTTATGCCGTCCCTAAAGAGTTTTCCACTCTTATACTATAAGATCTGCCTTATTTTGTTATTTTATACTTAAGTTAAGAAGAGCTAAATAGATAGATAGCGGTAACCGGCTATCTAAATAAGATAGGTTATTCTCAGCAATATCTCTTACTCTATCTTAGGCTTAAATAATAAAATATAAAATAAATCTATAGCTCTGAAAAAATATCTATACCTAAACTTCTTAAAAAAGATAATAATCTTGTCAAGTTATATATTACTAATAATAAGACTAAGCATATTAAAGAAAACACTTCTAACTAGAATTAATAAAATCATAATATTTAATAATATAGTTATACTCTAATATAAGTTTTTAGAGATATAGTAGAGCAGATTAATAAGGAGATAATTTGCAGACTTAATTAAGGGAGATTAACTAATAATAAGAAAGTAAATGAATAAGTTCTTTTTATTATTAATTAGTAGTAATAATAATAGTAAATTTTATTAACCTAATTCAGACTAAAGAGCCTATATAGGTCTGCTTATATAACTTTTCTTATTCTCTTTTACTCTTATTCCTCCTCCTCTGTTCTAGCCTCTTTCCCCTCTTCTTAATTCTTATTCTGTAGTCGTTATTCTATGTCTTAATTAATGATCCTCTTAAACTAGTCTAGGATCTTTGTACGCTAAATCATCCTGATGGCTGCCTTTGCTCCCCTCTTAGAGGTTAAGATTTTCTTAATGTCAGTCATATAAAGAGGGTATATAAGCTCTTCTCTCTCTGTAAATCACTTTAGGCAATTCAGTAGAACATGTTCTACTGTCATGCTTTCTCCTCTTGAGCAGTCATAATTCAGACTCAAGATGTCAGGGACCTTTATTTTGTATAAGAAGGCGTTAAAGCCTATTTTGCCTGTACGAAGCTGTGTTAGTAAAGCGCTTTCATGTTTCTTGATTCCTATATATACCTCTATTATACGTTCTGTTAGGTGTGACCACAGATTCCTTGAGTAAGCACCTTTCTTGCTAGATTTTTAGTAATCTTTTTATCTCTTATTATAATATAAAGTAAGTCTTTTATATAATCTTAAGAGTCTCTTATTATAGCATTATTTCTGATTCTTTTCCTATAAAGGCACGTTCTTCTTTGTCTATTAAGTCTCCTAGAGTTTAGATATAAACTTGTTTACTTATATATTTATATAATCTGCTAAAGAGCTTTAAGGGATTATTGTTCTCCTTTTTTTGCTTATTATTTGTCTGCAGATTTATTTATATATTTCCTTAATGCTAGTTACTACTTTTGTTATACAGATTCTAATAATTACTCTAGTTGCTAGTCTCTTAGTATAAAGATCTAGTAATAGGCTAAAAATCTTGATCTCCTAAGCCTTTATTTAGGTAGCCTTATACGCTTTAGCAATTATATAAAGGCACTTTCCTTAAATCTTCTAGAGTTTCGCTCTAATTCCTTTTTAGTAGCCCTTAACCTTATAAGAGGTGTCCTATATATTAGCTACGTATGTGATTATTAGGCGAATAGTAATCTTGTAAACTTGCTTACTTGTCTCTAAAGAGCTTCTTTATATTAAGCCTATAATTATATATAAAATACTAATTATATAAACTAATTTTGCTTTAACTACTTATATATATGCTTGTTATCTTAGTACTAAGTCTAGTCTTATTCCTAGGATGCAGATATTACTTTTAAAGTCTATACTCTAGTCTCTTAATTTGATTTCTACTATTATATTAAAATTCTTCTTTATATAGCTAAAGTATATAAGTTTATACTTATTAGGGCAGAATTTAGATCTATACTTTTCTACTTATAATTAGTACTTCTTGTAAATTTCTGCTAGCTTTAGATAATTTTGTTTTATGCTTTTACTATATATAAGAATATTAACATTATTTACAAAGCCTGTAACGCTTATACAAAGACGGATATTCTTGCAGCTTTTTAAGAGGTCTGCATTATAGAAGAGATACAGAATTAGGGAGATTAGTAATCCCTAAGGGATTCCTACTATTACTGATGCTTCTAGCAGCGTGAAATCATTGACTTTCACTTCTGTATATTGATTTGAGAGGAAATCTGTCACTTATCATATAAGTGATTCTAGGATTCTTCTCTTTCTTAGGTTGTAAGTAAGCCGAGCGTGTGAGACTCTGTCGAATGCTTTAGAGACGTCTAATAATAGGAGGCTAGCTATCCTTTTTCTTCCTCTTCCCCAGATCATATGAATTTTCTCTGTGATCTGTTAAAGTGCTGTTTTTGTGGATCGACTTATACGTGCGCCATATTAAGTATCAGGGAGCAGATCGTACGCTTCAGCTATGTATTTGATTCGGTTTGAGATAACTGCCTCTAGGATCTTTCCCATAGTGTTAAGGAGAGCTATCGGTCTATATGCCCCTGGGTTTGTGTAGTCAATTTTTCCTGGTTTCTTAAGCATTACTGTGCATGCTGTTTTGTAGTAGTCTGGTTGAACTCCTTAGTCTAAGCACGCTTGAAAGAAGCGCTTGACTAGAGTTATCTTTTCTTATATAACTAATTAGATCACTTAGTTCAGGAGCTTATTTATTATTAATTAAAGAGAATATATTAATCTCTTAAATAATAATTAATATTTTAGAGAGTATAACTATATAATATATATATTAATACTTAATATTATAAAAGATATTTAAAGACTAGCTTATTAGTGGCTATAATCTAATAATAATAAGAAGAGAATAAAAGTAAATAAAATAGTTAATAGTGTAACCGCACCTAAATATTCACTATATTATATCTCAATAACTAAGACAGCTATGATGATACAGAAAGCTATAATCAACTCAGATGGGTCTGCTAAGTATTTCAACAGCTTAGAAAATCTGATTTAAGCGTTATCTAATGCGATGCACTGCCGGGGAACAATACGGGGGAACAATACGTTGAGCTTAACCGGAACAGGCTTAGAGGAGGCTAACACTAAACCGGATCTGGGGGAACAATACCTATTCTACCCCGATCATCTTAGGTAGGGGATGACCGTGGCGGTCAATAGCTAGTAGTGTTAGGCTGACGGGGAGCTGTATCCGAGATAGGGATTTCCTGTGCCATGGGCACAGGAAATGAGAGTCACGTGGGCTTGCGCATTCTGGCCTATTACGGCACGCTGTGCCCACTAAACCGGATCTGGGGGAACAATACCTATTCTACCCCGATCATCTTAGGTAGGGGATGACCGTGGCGGTCAATAGCTAGTAGTGTTAGGCTGACGGGGAGCTGTATCCGAGATAGGGATTTCCTGTGCCATGGGCACAGGAAATGAGAGTCACGTGGGCTTGCGCATTCTGGCCTATTATGGCACGCTGTGCCTCATTAGGATTTGGCTGGGCGTGAGGCTTGGTAAGGGCGCCGGAGGGTTTCATAACACTAGTATTGCTTATTGTACTCTTTATTTTATTAATTAATCTATTTAAACCAAGCTTTTAGTTAAGACTTGTCTTAACTAGTTAAGCCCTAATACTTAAATAATTATTAGTTATATATCTAGATTTATAATCTTTAAATATATTAAGAATAAATTATAGCTTCTGTCTTTATTAATCTTTAATATAATATATAAGTGATCTGTTCTTAAGAAATAAACTAGATAATTACTTATACTTAACTTTTTTGTTTATGTCTTTTTAAGCATGTTCACGCCTGTAACAGATTTGCTACTAAAGAGAAAGAATCACACAAACTATTACTTGTGAAAATCTTAAATATACTATCTTTATCATCTGTTACACCTCATTGTATTCTACAAAATATGTACAACCTACTCACTCACTTCATCAACCAGAGACAGACAGATACTCTCATGAAACCTTTAGTTATTTCTTTCCACCACCGAACATGCCTCCGAGATAACCACCTGCACTCTTTGCGCCCTCGCTCACAGTACTTCCAGCAGATTGTGCTCCAGCAGCAATTCCCTCCCCTGCGCCCTTGGTATTTTTGATCATAGGATCAGTAAGCCCAGCAGCCGGGCCACCATAGCTTCCTTTATCATCCTTACCGCCTCTTTCCGCTCGATTTATACCTTCTTTTGACGCTAGATTGCCGACAGGATTGAGTAGCCCGCCTTTGCCAACCTGGTTGCCCACTAAGTTGTTCACATCACCTTGCAATTGGTCAACCTGGTCGATGCCGGTGATTTTCGTCTTGTTCAGTGTGTCTGCAAGGTAGGTCAGCGAGGCTCCCTGCCCGGGGAGATTCGAGCGCCTCAATGGTGTCTCGCATACCTTTGGTCACAAACGACGCCTTGTTGTCTTTGCCGAACCACTCCAGATATTTGTCCTCAATCCATGGCATCCACTTTTCATATTGGTTGTTGTACGCGTCCTTCACCCATTCCGTATATGATTGCTTCTGCTTCTGCTCGGCTGACAACCCCTCATAAATCTCTCTCTTCTGCTCTTCCGAAGGTTCAGACATGCTATTTCGCTTTCTCTTAAATAGCCGGGCTGCACGGACGAAATAGCAAACTTCCGCGCTCAGGATTCTCAATGATGGTTCAGAAAGTCAATAGGATTTTCAATGGAGTATTTTTGCAAAAGCATAGATGGAGAGAGAAACAGGTAAGTATGATGTGGCCATGCTGAGTGTGACTTTAACCCACCTAGATGACGTCATGAGACAGCTTGGGCGAAATTGAGCTTAAAGCATATTAGTACGTCATCCCAGATGCAGTGCCAAGAGGAGTGGCTTTGGCCCACTCTTTTTGCTGGTGTCATTGAGAATACATCAACTAAGTGTGGTTCGAAAACCCATTAGCACTGTCGTTTTTGTTTGTCCCTCTTCTGTCTCCGAGCCCAAGGCTACTACCACAACGTCATGAACTTCCCTAATGGCTTTCTCAGAGAGGATTGGGGCTCGCTCCATATACTTCCCTACGCAGACCGTTATGGGGCGCAAGGCAGCTTTTGCATGAGGCCACAGTCTCTGTAAACATTTCTCAGTATGGTCCAGCTGTTCTGACTTTCCATATATCTTTTGTCGTATTACATTGTCATTCGTTCTCTACACTCGTTTAATTTTCCTAGACTTGGACAAAGCACTTTGTTTCTGTTGACTGGATTATTACGTCTTCAAAGGGATACGACCCTGGAAGGTAGTTGAGATTTCATATTTCCAGCAGGCCGAAGCGCGACGAGCTGCTCTTGATAGTCGGTTATAAAGCATTGACTTAGCATTTCTGAAAGTGTCATATCTGCAAAATTCATCCTGCTCTTTGGTACCGGGACTGATTCTGTGCCTGGCGGCGAGAAATTGTCTTATCTGAACATCTCTGTGCCCGATACTGATTGCCTATCAACCCTGGGGCATTCAAGTGAGAGTCCACGTTTCATTACATCTGCGAGCCTTAGTTGCCGATATCACACTTGGTGTGCAGGAGACAGTGTGAGAAGTCAAGTAATTCGGGGGTTCCTGTGCAAGCCACTTCCGGGAGCCTCCGGTACGCATCTGCATCTGCTCCTGCTACAAGCCATCACCGGGCTCGATGGATTCACATTCCAGCTAACTGTATGTCTTGGGCAGAGGTAAGACGACGCTTTTCGTACGGGTTAGCTCTCTGACTGGGCAGAAAATCATCGCTACAATCTTTGTCCAGAGCCGATTGTCACTAGACCTCAAAATGGACAACGCAATGGGCGATGGAATATGGAAGGCTGTGTGCAATGGTCTGTCCTCGGATAGTGTTCACAACCATTTTGAAGTCTATGTGCACTCGCTTCTCCTACGGTACATTCCCGCCATCTCGTCTTCCATTGCAGTCCAATTGTGCTCGATTGATGATTGCAGATGTGGCTAAAAATCCCATCAGGCAACTTTGGGGCTTCCGACAGCGATAATACGAGGGTTCCTCAGAATAATGTGACGGATATTGTGCCCTACGCAAATCTATACATCTCCAGTCCCCTGCAAGATCGAAAAATAGTCAATCAGTCGTGTTTTTATATGTCCAACTTCACAACTATAACTGATGACCAAGTCATCAAAACATACCACAGACAATCCATCCTAAATTTCTAGCATGACTCCAGGGATGATAGTGGTGGATTAACTTTGTCTCCAATTGCTCAACGATAATAATATCGTGATGACATTTCCACCAGCCAGAACGTTACAAGATCGCGTGCCAACTTTCTGAATTCAACTATCAAAGACCTTCGTCTAGCATTACAAGCTCAAAGAGTCAAGTCTGTTCATAAAATCATTGCTCTCATCTTTGCGAAATGTATAGAGTTGTTTCATCAGCTGGTAACCTAACAATTTCCAATTCTTCGCAAATGCCATTGGTGCGGTGGAAAACGAGCAATTTAAAGCGGTTCAAGAGGCTTGCCAAGCGTCCGCAGCGGTTTGAAGCGGATTATGGGAAAGACACGTCCCAGTCCTTGGACTTTCTCATTTCTGTCAGTAAGGAGGTCAGCGTCATAGTCAGTGCCAAAACTATCATCAACGATCTTCATAAGATCGACTTCATCTGCAGCCAACAGCAAGACGTCCCCCACTTTCTGAACACATTAAGCAAGCCCAGCCCGCAGCATTTGTGATCTTTACGAGACAGTCGAACAATGAAGGAATGCCTGGTTGGGTATCGCGGAGACCGCTAACAAGACCTACGAATTACTCCGTGATCTGATGGATCTCAAACAAAGACAAGCAAATGTCTCCAAAGCCCAAATGTCGATAGCTCAAGTGGAGATTTCAGCACGACACGGTCGGGTTTTTATGTTGCTTACTATAGTTACGATAATCTTCTGTCAGACAAAAGCTAGTTTACGGTCCTCTGAGGGCCGCGGTCCTTTTGGTCCAACATCTTCCTACCAATGTCTTTTCTAACTATGTTAGTGTCGATCTTCGGAATGATATAAAGCATTGAACAGTGGTAGCAGTCTCGGCATTGGATATATATCTGCTATCCTGTTTCCCGTCTCCTTTGCTATTTGCAAATTTTGCCCTTATCTTGGTGTTAAGTGAGACGCTCCTAGAGCTGTTGTTACACGGCGTATGGGGGGCATACCGTCTCGGGTTCAGAGATATGGGAGTATGAGGGTTACCAACGAAAGCTTCTTAGTGTGCGAAGGCAAAAGCGGCAACCAGATTACGAAGGTAGCATGCGAAGGTGGCATGCGAATGCCTTCAATAGATCATTCTTAAACTTCTTCTTTCTGCGTTTGGCAATGCTATCTGTCCATGAATGGTTGCAGAAACCAATGGCATCGGTACGCTGAAACACCCTGTGGTCCTTTTGTGAGCCGCCTGCCAGCTACTAGCAAGCGCGAATGGTTCGCCCAGATGCCTCAGACAGCTAATTGTTCATGCTACAGCCATCTTTTTGGTTCCCTCAATTCTCCTGATTTCAAATAAATATCCAATTCCGATCAATGTAGACAGCCCTATAACGAGGTAGATCTGAATGAATGTCTCTCCAAACTCTGGATCCGTAAACATGGTGCCCGGGTACAGTATTGCACTGAGCTGCGTGATCCAGTAGAGGCTAGCGAATATTACGACAGTATGTAGGTTGTCTTTCGCTGCCTCGACCTTGAGAGGTCGCCAAAGGTAGTATAACGTTGCCGCCCCAAGCGCTAATCCCATGCTCATTGTCTGTCCATTGTGAAATTTGGCGTGAGGTGGCCACCTCGGGTTGTAAATGTGAGTTTCGTTCCAATCGGCGAGGTATGCGCCAGCGCAGGTGACCAGGCCGACAATGGTGAGAAGAGTACGGTAGACGATGGAGGGACTTTGACGAGTCATTGTGGTTGATGTCGCGCTGTTTCTAGTCAGTGCTTCATGATCTTTTGTGCGAGGCGGCAGCGTTCCATCCTGGAGAACTCGAACCATGCAGCTTCAGAGCGGGATTGGCCGCTCTTTACCGGAGTTTCCGGACTTCGGCAACCTAAGCGACTTTGTGCAACACGTTCCGCATATTGGAAGGGAACTCATTCACATCTATGGTGAACAATGTCGCTTATAGCAAAATTATTCTGTTCAACCGTGAAATTTCACAGCGAATGAGGAATCAGCAACAGCTCCGAATAGTGGCACCGGCAGCTTCACAGGAGGAATGAGATCAGTTAATTAGCATGATCGTCAACAGGCGATGGATAAGAGTAATGGAGCACGTCCAGAGGACGCCATTCCTCTGGAAGACGGACCAGCTTTAACTGACATGATGACAAGCCTGCTCTGCGCTCTCAAGACTAATTCAGCCGACTCCCAACCAGGTGACACTTGAAACCACTATTAAATCTAACTCGGCCTTCTGCTACCACTAGTATGTCGTCCTTAATACCTGGTGAAATGCTCGCTGCCCAGGTCGTGAAGGTGACACACCCTTCTCCTTCCTGTCACATCCAACCAGTGACTAGTTATTCTCAGTTCAATGAAAGGTACCAAATCCATAAGATTCCCACCCCGAGGTCCCTTGGTCCAAATGAAATCCTCCTCAAGACTGCTGCTGCTTCTCTTTGCCATACCGATTTATTGGTCACCGCAGGCAAGTTTCCAACGAAACTGCCACGCACTGCCTCACATGAAGGAACCGGTATTGTCCAGGCGGTTGGCTCGGCTGTCAAGGACTTCAAGATTGGCGACAGAGTCATGGCTGGGCTACCCAAGAGACCATGCGGAGACTGCATCAATTGCAAAGGACCTGAGAATTGGCATCAGTATTGTCAAAACATCGAGGGTTGCATCGGCTTCCTTGTCGACGGCGCATTCGCAGAATATCTTGTTGCTGACTCTGCCTTCTCGGCAAAAGTTCCAGATGATTTGAGCCTGGTATCGGCGGCGCCCCTAGCATGTGCAGGTATCACAATCTGGGGAGGCATCGTCAGAGCCGCAGTGCCAAAGAACGGCTGGCTGGCCATTGTTGGTAGCGGAGGTGGACTGGGCCATCTGGGCATTCAGATGGCACGTGTAAAAGGAATCAATGTCATCGGGATTGACGCACCAGATGAAGGAATAGCGCTGAGCAAGGAAGCAGGATGCGAGCATGTCTTCGACGCAAGAAAAGGCAAAGAAGAAGTAGTCAGAGAGGTACAGGCCTTGACGAATGGACTTGGAGTGGAGGCAGCCATCAATGTTTCGTATCACGAATATCATGCGGCGTGACCAGAATGCACGGCAAGATGGTTCAGATTGCACAGCCCAACCAAATTTCGATTCCATATCAAGAGCTTCTTTATAGAGATGTACACATCATCGGAAGTCTCATGAGCAATGCATCAGAGGCCAAAGAAATGTTGAGTATGGTAGCGGAGCACAAGATCATGGTGAAAACCAACGTTTTTCATGGGTTACACGAAGTTCCAAAAATGGTTGACTTGGCGCATTCCGGAAAAGATGCAAGAAAAGCCAGTCGTGGTCATATGGGAAGAAGTGACAGGGTGAAAGAACTGGTTAAGTACGGCGGACTATTACGTGCTAGAGCCCAGGGCTCTAGCACGTAATAGTCCGCCGTAGTTAAGTTACTGGACGAGTGAGGCATCATCCTCTCCATCACTGTAGAGCATAGACTCCCCACGTGCATGTATGCTTCTACACCTTCGCCTGCCTGTCAATGAACATGGTCAAATTACTTTCAGATTCAAGCTCTAATGCATAGACGCTGTACTAAGTTCTGATGACCCTCGCAGCCGTTGCTATATCATGCCTCCTGCTTCTCCTACTTTTCCATTGTCGCTGGTTCATCATTCAACAGTTTCTACTGTGACCCTCGTAACAGTTGGTGAACAAAGTACCGCTAAACCATGCTAATCCCAATATGTGTTAGTTGAGGCTGATCAACCTGTTTGTGTGGCTATTTTTAGAGACCAATACACTGTCTACCAGTGTAACTACTGGCATTCTGTATGCCCAGTACGGTGTCGTGCTTCAAAAGTCATCAATATACGCTA